GTTTTCTACACTTGTCTGCCTGCTTTTACCTCTTTGCAGAGATATCCAGTCTTTGATTGTCCAAATATAGAGCTGTGATCAACCTATTAGAGACAGGTAATCTGGTCTAGGACCAACAAATGCTGGTTTGGTCATACTACTCAGCACAGCATCTTTGGTGGCACAAAAACTTCTCAGTCCGTCTCTGATCAATGTATTCTTCTCATAAAATGTTGTCAGAGGTGGGTAAGGGACCCAAAAACGGTGCTCTAGTAAAAGTGGCACTACTTGAATTTTTTTTATACTTAAAAGTTGTGTTGCGGCAATGCCCTTTTTCGACCCCGATACCGATAATTGGCTGTGCAGTATTGGCCGATATCATCTGTTTTAAATTGATGTGTTTGTATATATGAAGAACTGCATACTACTTGGATCTAAAATAATTGCCATCATGGCTTTACAACCAGCTTCCTACTTTTGTGAAGCATGAAAAAGACTAAAACAAACTGAGTCCAGTAGAACTTTTTATTGCCTTTCTGGAATGGGAGACAATAGTTGAGTAAACTCTTGGCTCTCAAAATTGTATCAGTGCCCTAATCGTTGGTACTCGCTGATTACGATACCACCATTTTATTGCAGTATCGGGGCCCTGCCTGATACTGGTATTGGTATCGGTGCAACACTACTTAAAAGTAGTCATCAAAGAAATAACCAAAGCAAGAGTAAAAATAAGATCATCACTGTTGGATTATAATGCCTGATTTAATGTTTAGAAAATCTATAATCATACTTTTTATGTAAGTTCTGGTATATTAAAGAATAAAATAGATTTAAAAAACTAATTCCAGAATTAGAGTCATTCATTTAGCTCAGACACCGAAAGAAAATGCAGCTGCAGCTCAGTAATGTGTAAAAATGACTTAGCTGCAGCTGACTTTCTTTGACTCACAGAGGAAATAATGATGAAACTAAACATTTTCTTCGCTGAGGAACTTCAAGCTCAAAAACAGTGTCTGTGGAAAACCTGACGGTCTGACTGTTGACTTTACTAAAAAAGAACTCTTAATTTTGAGGTAAACTATAATGTGATCTCATTCCTTAGCCTTAGGATGCTTCTTTCTTCAAAACAAGACATTACCTAACTCATATCATCAACCATGCATGGCTAAGCTTTACTGTTTTAGAGAAACATAACTCTTAAGGCTCTTTATGTGCGAACAAAGAGAACTTTAGGATAAATTGTCTACTTTGAACATCATTATGTTAACAAGTATGTTTTGGGTCATATTTTAATATTTTGTCATTTCTGATTTTGAAATATGATGTTTGACCTGCAAATAACATGGTCATTGTTGATGATTCCCTGACATTAATTATCCCTTCAGGGGTTTTTGCTACTTCCAATTCCAGTGTTTTTTGCTCTACGACACAAAAAGTTCAGATTCAGAGTAAAAACGAAGAGCAAACATATTCATTTGTAATAGTTTAAAATAAAAAGAATTTTCTTCATGTTTTGACTTACAGTCTTTGTTCTTGTCCACCAGTTGAAATATCCTGTCACAGATGTCATCAACATCAACTTCCACATTCTGCTCATTGCGTCTTTTAATCTTAGTGATGATCTGGGAAAAAACAAAACAAAAAATAACAATATTTACAATTAAATCTTTGAAAATAGAAACTTTATAATAATTTCAAACTTTGTTGTTATTCTGATTACATTCTTTGTGTGGCTGTGCATGTTACCCATTTAAGACCATGTTTGGTATTTTTACTAACATGTGAGGACCGACAAGGTGATGGCTGGTCCTAATGTGATGGACGGCCATCTTTAATGCCAGAGAGTCACTTTAGAGGTATTATGTGAATTTACTTTAAATTATTCTTAGAGTTAGGAATATACAGGTAATGGTTAGGGTTGGGCATCAATGCAGTAACTAAAATTAATGCAAGTCAATGTAGAGTGTTAATATGGGAAGAAATGCAAACTTATGCATGTGGCTGTGGTTTTGTTACCTTTGGGGGACAATTTTCTAGGAATATGATACATTTTTGGGACTTACAGGTACTTATTGGGAGAAAAAAACTGGTTCCCGTGCAGTAGTAATTGTTTGTTTTCCATTAATCCATTCCACTACCATTCCATGACCCTGAGATCGTGGCTTTCCTCCCATGATACAAGAAATGACTGTTGATTTGTCTCTAGATGCCCACAACAGAAGCTTTTTTAATTTGAAATTCAATTTTCATACAACACATTGACCTGAGCCTGAGCATTACAGTGTTTCTTTCAACTGCACATAGTAAAATGAGCAGGATTATGCTGCAGTTTGTTTGTGTTGCTTAAAATACAGCAGTGTGGCCCATGTGTACTAGTTTCATTTTAAGCTCATTTGCATTTGCTGTAACTTTTATAACTGTTCCAAATGCTTTCCATAAAACAAGCAGAGTAGAAAAACAAACAAACCATGAGCTGAAGACTCACTTTGACAACACGTCTCACTTCCTGATTGGTCAGAGAGCCATTCCCATCATTGTCATACACTTTAAAAGACCACTTCAGTTTGTCGATGAGTTTTCCACGAAGAACGAGGTTCACAGCTGCCACATACTCCATGAAGTCCAATTTACCGTCCTAAATAGAACCATAAATTACAAACTCTGTGGAAACAACCTTACATCAGCTAAGATAGATGTATTAAACAAGAAGCACTACCTTATTAGTATCAAAGGATTTAAAGACAAGTTCAATGAAAGCCAGCTCCTCCTCTGGTGATTTGCTGTTGACCCCAAAGATTTTCTTGAATTCATGCAGGTGCAGGTTTCCACTTGGACATTCACTGGTAAATTTCCGGTACAGTTCCTGAATGTGCTGAAGAGTCACTTCTTTTTCTGAGGTGGCCTGGACCTGACCCATAATTTCAAACAGGAAGGTGCAGAAATCCCCTCAGATGATGGGTTTTTGAGTCGGTACATCCTGGCAGTGCCATCAGGAGCTCATGGTTTCAACTGACCTTTTCCAGAAGAGTGGTCCCTGGGAGCTATTTCTGGAGCACCTGGTAAACAAATCCTATTGAGTCCTCATGTATCCCAATCAAATCCCCACCTATAAAGAAGGTCTGAAGGAAGACCTCTGTATTTCTAAAACTAGAGCTACACCGGCATAAAACAAATTACATTTATTTCTCTAAATCTACTTTTGCTGGTGTTGGAAAGCTAATCTGCAGACTGTTTGACTGCCGGGAGGAACAGATTTTCCTCCTGCACACCAGAGAGATTAAAAGTCTGAATCCGTCAAAGCGTAAGTGTGTGTTTGCCGATGTGTTGATCCGATGAAGCGCGTGAGGAGGCTGACCTCGCAGGGGAGGGGAAGCGGTGCTGTGATTGGATCTTCAAAAGTCTAATCAGCTTCTGAAATAGCTTCATGTTCAGGAGATAAATGGAGTGTTTTCTTATGTTTAAACCAGCTTTTTAAACCACCAGTAGCCTTCTTCATCTACATTGTTAATTACGGAATAGGATTTAACATGGATGTGACAGACTGATGAGCCTTAACTAGCTTATAATGGTTCTGAAATATACAAAGAGAACGAATGCTGCTTAGGTATATTTATGTCCGGTTGAGATATGTTTTCTTTTACGTTATTCCAGCATTTCCCTTCGCCCCCCACTAGATGTCTCAAACACCTTAACTTACAGCACAGGGTGAAGATAAAGCATGTATGGAGAAACAGGAAGTGAAACAAAAAAACCCAATGTAAAATAGTGAATTGTATAAAGAGTGAAAAAGTGAGAATGATAGAAGAGGATGGAAGCTGTTGAGTAAATCAAGATATGTGAGAGCAGCTGAGATAGAAGGTAACCCTGGAGTCTGAGGGATGGAGGACAGAGCTGGGTAAAGAAAAAATACAATGTTATGGGGGGAAAAAAACAATTACCTACCTAATGAACTGAGGAAAACCAAACATAGAAAATAAATCTTAGAGAAAATAATAGTGTCAGGGATCTAGGGCCTTGGGTTCTGAATGGTGGAGTTCTGCAGTTGCGCTTCTGCACATAGCTTAATCCACATGCCTTTAGTAGGAGAATATGGGGAGCTGGCTGCCTGGCCTCATTGCTTCAGTGTTGGCCCATGGGGAATACCAACCATCTTTGAATTTCTTGTATTTTCTCCAAGCATATTTCCCTTGTGTGTCCTTCATGTTATAGAAAAACCCCTACTGTGATCTTGGGCCGTAACCATCTACTACAAAAAATAACCTTCTGGCTTTAATCCATGACTGGTAACTATAAACCCAGCTTGGCATGTGCTATGATCCGATTCCAAAAAAACATTTGCAGGTCAGGCACCTTAGCATAACTATGACAAATGGAGAAAAGAATAGGATATTGTAAGACAGCATGGAAGAATATTAGCAAATAAACACAAGCAAAATGCTAATCTCTAACACTAAAGGATCATGGCAGATCTAAGTGATCTATTTTCACTCTCATTGGTCCATTAAATGTATCAGTCTTTATTATATGTGTCCTGGCATGTCCTTGTAGGTTATCTTTAACCTGCTGCCTCTCAGAGGATCTGGCACACCTGAGTTCTATCTTGGTATCCTGAGTCCTGGCTGTAGTCCAGCCACTATCCCAACAGGAGAACTTTACTTAGTCACATCTTGATTTCTTCGTGTTGCTTTAATATTGGGGGGGTGGGGGGTGGCGGCCTAGTGGTTATGGCATAGAACTTGGGGGGTGAATCCTGAGGTTCCCTGAGATTGCCACTCTGGTTCCCTGAGCAAAGACCCTTAACCTGTCACTGCTCCCCGGATGCCCCACATGGCAGCCCGCTGCTCCCCAAGGGGATGGGTTAAAGTCAGAAGTAAATTTCTCCAATGTAAAATCAACAAAGTTCGAATAAAAATAATATGAAGATCTGTTGTTTATGGTGTAATTAACATTTTCAGCCTCATGAGATAAAAGGGAAATTGGACACAAAAGTAAAATCTGTTTTTGAAGAAGGAAAGGGACTTTTTACTGGTGAGGTTTTGGATGGAGATAGTTAGGCAAACTGATAAGGATAAAAAAAAGGCCTAGATATGTTCTAACCTTGGAGTAAAAAAGTAAGAAACTTCTCCAGTCACCATTATGACAGAAGTCAGGAAAGTAAACAATGGAGAGCAACATGGAAGGAAGCCAGGGCATAATCAGTGTGCTTTATTGTTTCTCTCTATTATCTGTCTGAATCCCTCTCACAAGAGCTGCTCTATGCTTATTTAATGTAAACAGAGTTGTTTCGGCTTGTTAGATCAGAAGCGACTGCTGTGGTGTTGACGTGCGTAAATTGCCTTCAATGGTATCATGTAATTTAGTGGGTCAACCCGACTCTGGTGTTCCCAGAGCACACCGATCAGAGCTGAGGAAATTTTAATATGGGTCGTTTTCTGAGTCATTTGACCCAGTAGACACCAGTCAGTGAGCCACTAAAGAGCAATTGTTTCAGGGTTTAAACTGTTTTTTTGGTCAGTGGAAAAGGGGTACCAGATTGTCCTCTGTCTCTGCTCTCCTTAGAGCCAACCACATTGTTTTATTTTACAGATATAGGAGGACTACTTATTTAGATGATCCACACGGAAATAAAAGATTGTCCTCTATACCTTTATTGAAAAGATTATTGGTAACAAAAGCTACATTTGGAAGCTTTTGAAAAAAAAACAAAAAAAAAAAACATTAACCCTTCATTGTTGGGGTGTAAAGGAGAGAGGAAGGTAAATTTGCAAACATAAAACAGCCTATGGTGCTCTGACTCATGAAAAAAGACCAAGAACTTCAGGTAGCTCTGTGATTTAAAAAAAATGTTGGTAGGTTAATAGAAGGTTAAAAGTATTAGAAATTCAACAAGCTTTTTAAAAGAGCTCACAGTTTCCATATATCTTATTTAATGGGTTGATTAAACTTAAATCAAATATTAATTTTACTTTAAAGACAAATGTTCATCATGTTTTCTATTTTCTGTCAGTCGTAGGTTATGGTCGTTACTGTACTTTAAAGAAATGGATGCAGCCTATCATGTTTCTCTATAGTTTGTTTCAAACGTAAATGTTTAAATACATGTTTACCGGTCTTAAATACAGGGCTCAAATAACCTAAAATCTCTTATATCATAAGCATTTTTATTTCTCAAAGCAGTTTTGATGCTTCCAAATCTGAATTTAAAAAACTAATTAAACTCTGTTAATAAACAGCAAACGTTTTTATAGGAATAACCAAAATTCTGATCTAATTACTGTGATTTAAATAAATGTATTTGTTTATTTTTAATTGATCCACTTTTTATTTTAACTGCCTACTTTACCTTTTCATCTATGATGAGCTCTGTATTGACTTGACTATCTGGACCCCAGGGAAAAATGTCTAGATGCTTTAAACTTTGATGGATTGTTAACTTTCTCACCTTTAGAGACCAGCAGCCTGATTTCTACACAGAAGGTATTCAGTCACATGAGGATGGCGAGCAGCATCCTTCCGCAGTCTCCTTCAGCCTTACTGATGTGTAAAAGTAAAGAGAAAGTGATGAAAAATCTGAAAGTTAGCCATAAATTTGGAAAGTAAACATAAACGCTGAATGTCTCAATAAATAGATAAATAATTATAATTTTTCCTCATCGTGAGGAAACAGCAGACGCTAAATATGAAAAGTCCAACAAGGCAATTGTTGATTTATTTCAAAGGGTTAAACATTTTATGCAATAGTCTAATGAGGTAATGTGATTAATCTCTTAGAAGCATGCCTCCTGAGAGAAGCCGGCTGACGGTGCAAATCTCTTTAGTGTGACTGACTGAGTCAATTGGAGCCTTCGCCACGTTAGATAGACGATCAGAACTTTCACAAACTCCGCAGGGATCCTTTGGACCAATGCAACTGGACACCAGGAAGCAAGAGAAAAGCAGCAGTGATGGGAATCTTGCTCAGATTCAGGAGATGTGTGTCATTTTTCTGAGGGAATGTCCCAGCGGCGCCTTGCATCTACACGAGTTCAAGAGGATGTTTGGCGTCCAGAGCAGCTCGCGAGAGGAGTCCCTCTTCCTCGAGACAATCTTCCGCTCATTCGACACAAACCAGGTGAACCATTTTCACATCTGGATGCCGGAAGTCACAGTCAGGGTCTTTTTTTGATTAACACTCCTGGTTTATCCACAGGACAACACGCTGGACTTCATTGAGTACGTTGCTGCTCTTAACTTGATTCTAAGAGGGAATCTGGAAGATCGGCTCAAATGGTCCTTTAAGATGTACGACCGAGACGGGAACGGAAAACTGGACAGGAAGGAGGTGAAGCTCCTCATAAGGGTGAGAAAAAGATGAACAGCTAAAGTTTAAAGTTCTGTAACAGAAATCGTCTCGGGGTGGACTTCAGTGACCCAGTAATCTGGGATTAGGGTAAGAGGCTAAGGTCATGTCATGTGGCTCCATTGACAGAAAAAGAGTTGATCCTAAGCCCCTTTAACCTGGAGATCAGCTGGTAAGAAAGCACAGCTGTCCTGAGCTGGAGCATCAAAGCTGGGCTGATGTTCTAATAGAACACCATCATCAGCGAACATCTAATCTGGAGTCTCATGAACAACATCTAACCTTTAGTCCCCTGGTTGGGTTTTGCCCCTAATAAGCCTGTTTGCCTTAGTAGATTTAGGCCACTCTGATATCAGTTAATAGAATCAGATTTTTATGTTTTCTAAGGGTTTATTTAAGCTCATTAAAATTTTCTCCCCCATTCGTTAATAAAAAAAATGCACCAGAGACTGGCCTCCAACGCTGTTTTCCTCAATGTTTCTTTTCATGCTACAAGTTTGATGTAAAAAGATGCTGAGAAAAGACCAAAGCTTCTCTGAAGAAAATGATAAAATAAAATAATCTGGACAAAAAGTAGAAGATTTATAAAGACCTATAAAAAATAAATATGATTATAATCTTATAAAAATCCTAATGAGCCTCCACCTACTGGATTTACTTTGATTTTCACGTTGTCATCAAATGAGAACAAAAAAAAATAATTTGTGTTTTAGCAGACCTACCAAAGTGTTTAAATAAATTAGAGTTGGTAATAAGATCTGATTTTTGTAAAATATATTATAGTCAGTAAAGCACCATTGCCCAAACAACAAAAAATAACTGTATGAAATACTAATAACATGGATGATAATACCAATGGTACTGAAAGTTTGTGTTTTTTAACTTTTCTTCAGTCTGTTTTAGATTTTAAGATTTATCAGTTTTGCTTTTAATCAAACGTTATGAGAACAGCTGTAGGTTTTAATGTGTGACTTACTAATTTCTGATCCAAGGTTCTTCACAAAATCAAGCTTCAGGGGAGTGAAGTCGGTCTGACTCCGTCGGAGATCTGCGATCGGATCTTTGAGCGCGTTGACGACAATAATGACGGTAGGTTGGAGAACACGCTCATCCTCAGCTCCCACAGTTAGGAATCACAAGGAGAAGTTTACTTCTCTTCTACAACTCAGTTTAGAAAGTGAAACTTTTATAGATTTATCAGACATAGAGGGAAATATTCCAGCATTTACTTCTGGTGGATTTAAGGATTGTTTATTACAGATAAGAATAACAAAAATTCAGAGTCTCAGAAAACAAGAAAATTGATTAAGCCCAAAACAATCGAAATGTCAGCCTCTTAAAAGGTAAGTTGGTTCCCAGTTTGCTTTGATTGCATCTGCATTGTTGGTTCTGATGCCTCTTGACTCCGTTGATTCTTCATGAAGTTTTGGTCTCTAAGCATCAGGGTTCTTGTTTAAATTAGAGGCCTATCAGTAACACCATCCTCCTTGAACCAGCTGTTACAGTTAATCTGCAGAGTTTTTTTGTTTGTTGTGGATCTTGATGTTCTGACTCCAGCTTTAGGCCACTTTTTCTTAAGCTCATCCCTCTTTATTAAATCTACTTTGCTTGTCAATCCTCTAAAGGCTGCAGTTACTCGTGCATCTTTTCATAATGGACATTTTTTCCTTCCACTTAACTTTCTAAAAATATGCCATAACTTCACAACATAACTGTTTTAATTTTGCGAGACATTTTTTTGCGAGGAATTTATTTTAAAAGTACTGGTTCACATGAAATGCTCATACCTAATTTATCCAAAAGCATTTTTATTTTTCCAGAGTTCCAATCAAAGATAAGCTTTTTGTGAGTAAGAAAATAAAGATTTGATGTTAAGGAGATTTTCATGGGGGCTCTTTGTTTTTCCCCGTCTTCTCAGGTGAGATAACACTGAGTGAGTTCATGGAGGGGGCCCAGAAAGACGATTGGCTCATGGACCTTCTCAATCTAGACATCAACACCTCCGGCTGGGTGATCCGAAACTGCAGGAAACTATGTTGACCTTTAAATGCTCAGCGGATGACCTCTTCCTTTGGTTTAAATATATTTAATCTGTGAGTTATGAGTTGCCTTTTAAAACTCAGCGCTGGACCGCTTTATGAGACAGAAGTTCTGCAGGAACCTCTTGAGTGAGTTTAATCATCCAATACAGATGAATGAACTACTTCATATCCACATTTATGATATTTGAATCAGAATTAATCTTCATCAATGATTGCAATGTTCAGATTATCTGCATATATTCTAACAAAGTCATGTCATCCAGTGTCCAATGTGGTTAAAGCTGAAATGTTTTAAAAATGACGTCCCAGAAGCAGCAGGTCTGAAGGAAATATTCATATTCATTGATGTGACAGAAAGGATGGAGTTATGAACAAAGTTCTGTTTGAAGTTTCTTACATGTTATTGCCTTGAAAAGGAGAGAAAGTGGAAGAATAAAGAGGAATGTTTTGATATTGAACCGTTTGTTGTTTCTATAGAGCTACTCTATAAACTGCAGTGTGACATCATTAGAGCTGCAGATGCGAGCAGAAGGTTTCTTCTCTCCTTCTGAAGGTCAATCATTGGGGGTTTTAATCAACTGTTTGAAATGTACATCAGTATTCTGGTACTCAATGATACATTCATTTATTTTATTCACACAGGATCGATTCTAAAGCTTTAATATTGATGCATGCTGATGAAAGCATCTCCTCTTGTACCTTAAAAGGAAGAATACAGGCACTTAGTGAAGAGCTAAGGAGGAGAACCAAAATTTAGAAAAGTCTCATGAATCCATTAAACAATTGCAACTTCAGAGATCAAAGAACTTATTCTTTGCAAAGGCAAACTATTAAAAAAACCATCAGTAGGAGTTTCTGAGCGGACCCAAGGCACGGGCAGGCAGAACCAGCTCGGTGAGTTAAAGCATTTAAATAAATAAAAAAAACATGAAAAAACCTAAAGAATTTAATGACACAAGCTTTGGAAACGATATTTGCTTTAAAGGAAAAGTCCGGTCAGCAAAGAATAATCAATGGATCCTTATCTATACCTAAAGCGAATATGTCTGTGGTGATTTAATGACTCTAGGGTTAATCAGTAAAAAATTAAAATAATAATTCACTGAGTCTGGGAATAACCATTTTTGCCCAAATATAGTAACCCCTCCCTCCTGCCATCTTCCAGCAGTGATGTCACGGTGCGGTAAGCCTTGCCCCATTCTCCCCGCTTTACAAGCAAAATCAATGGGAACTACTAGACACATCTGCAATCAACAACAATTATTGAAGATTTTCAGAGGACTTCACCATTGAAATTCACCAGAGCTATAGTGAAACTGACAATGCCCATGTGCATGGCAGCTGGATATTGTAATATATTGGGTAAGAGTGAAAAGAAAAAAAGAGTTATTTCACCTTTCCGATTCCTGATCCTCCACGGACGGGTTCGTCGTTGGATTGCCAACTTGAAGAGGGAGGATTTGCCATCGAACTTCTGGCCAGAAAAAAACCCCACATAAAACGTAGCTAAGATTTCGAAGAAGAATGTTTTCAAGATGACTTGGATAATAGCACGTTTTGACAAATACCAGATGCAGCACTGGGACTTGATCAACAGCCGATACCGCACAGTGACGTCACAAACCAGTAGGTGGCAGTAGTGCTCTTTGACAAACATGGATGCCTCCATTCAAGCACATTCAAATTAAATTACTCCTAATTAAAACACTTATCATTTATTGAAATGTTTGTAATAATGTCATATATAAAGCACTTGTAATAGTTTAAATTCTGAATATGAGCAGACTTTTCCTCTAAGAGGTGATGAAAAAACAGAAGCATATATAAAGCACTTGCTGCAGGTGATAACAGGCAAAACAGTTTAACAAGGATGACGGTTCATTAGGTAGGTAGTTTAGTATAAACAAAATACTAAACAATAAAAGATACCTGAAATAGAAAAACACATGAAACAAAACAGGATTAATCCTAAACAAGAAACACAGAATATAGGATCAAAGAATAAATTAATAAGTTCAAACACCTGAAAAATATTAGAAGAAATCATCAACTGATCTGTCTGGAGATTGTGGGCATGACAACAAGAAATACTGACAGCAGTTTTTAAATGAAAACCTAAAGCAAATCTGAAAGATGTGTGTCCGGATGAAAACATCTACAGTTAGAGATCTCAGGTTGACTCAAACCACGGTGACCCGGAAAAAATTTCTTAATCTACAAGAGTGAAACTTGCTACTGTCAGGATGGAAAAGACAATGGCTGGTAAAAAACACACATAGGTCAGAAGAGGAAAAAGATTATGAATAGTCTAAGATTATGACTGGATGAGTGTTAAGCATGGTGGTGGCAGCAGCATTCTGTGGTCCTGCTTTTTCCCACGTTCTAATGGTGAATTAAAAAAAATGAAGGGTTAAGCTTTTAGACTAATCTCTAAATCCCCATTTCTGTCCAAAGTTGTAGAGAAAACATTTTCTATTCAGTTGAGGTTTTATTTCTGAGACGTTTCAGTCTAGCTTTAAACCCCTTCTGATAATCATTTGTTCAGTGGACTCTGGTAGCTCTGGTCCTTCCTCTCCCTGACCTGACTGCTGTGTTTGAGAATGTGGACTGGGAGATTCCTTTCCATCACTTCCAATAAGGACTCAGCCCTTCACCCGAATTTCCGGCCAACCTTGCAACCTCAACCGAAGGGAACCAAAAGTCCAACCTTGGGCCAAAGGGTTTTTTTTTTGCAACTCTTTTTTTTAAGCATGACATAACTTTTAGGCCGCTCAGTGGCGCGGTGGGTAGCACTGCTGCCTTGCAGCCTGCATGGACTTTGCATGTTCTCCCTGAGCATGCGCGGGTTCTCTCTGGGTACTCTGGCTTCCTCCCACAGTCCAAAAACATGACTGTTAGGTTAATTGGCTTCTCTAAATTCTCCTCAGTGTGAGTGGATGGATTTTTTGTCCTGTTTGTCTCTGTGTTGCCCTGTGATGGACTGGGCGACCTGTGCAGGGTGGACCCAGCCTCTCACCTGTAGACAGCTGCTACCAGCTCCTAATTTACACTCCACTCTGACCAAACACCAAGTCTTCTTTTCAGCCTATGTCCGTATGTTCAAATGCCATTGCATCTTTGATGATGATTTTTTTTCACACTCTTCTCTACTTATCAGTAAAGAAAATGTTAAGGTTAAAAACTCTTAAATTAGATTTTAAGCCAAATTCGATCATAATCTAGAGTGATAGTGCAAGGAGCAGACGTTCTGAGGACATAACAGTTATATGACGACACATCTTAATGTTTGCAATAAAGCGTCACTCTATTAGGATCAAAGAGTAATCATCTAATATTCAGCTTTACTTTCTGCAGGAGGATTGATTTAAATGGTTTTTGATCCTCTTAAAGAGCCGTGAGAGAGAGAGAAAGAAGGATGGAGTTAAAATCTTTAGTCTTCTTTATTTCTCCTTTTTCTTTCTCATTAGAATGTCTCAACACAATCAATTTATAGACTTTTATTTATTTCTGGTAAGATTTTCTATTTGACACTTTAGATTCAGTTCACCATATTTTTTAAGGTTCCATATTTAGTTGCTTGATTTTATCATTATTTAGTCAGCTCTGGTCAGCTGCTTAGTGGCACAGTGCGTAGCACTGCTGCCTTGCAGCAAGAAGGTTCTGGGTTTGACTTCTGGCCCGGGGTCTTTCTGCATGGAGTTTGCATTTTCTCCCTGAGCATGTGTGGGTTCTCTCTGGGTACTCTGGCTTCCTCCCACAGTACAAAAACACGACTGTTAGGTTAATTGGCTTCTCTAAATTCTCCTTAGGTGTAAGTGTGTGAATGGTTGTTTGTCTCTGTGTTTCACTGGGATAGACTGGCGACCTGTCCAGGGTGGACCCTTCCTCTCGCCCATTGACAGCTGGAGATAAGCACCAGTACCCCTTGGGATGGATAGTCAGCTCTGGTCAGCTTGCGTCATACTCTCTTGTTTTATAATTGTTATTGACAACTTAAGCACTTAGCATAAGTTGCTTTTAAACAGCTTTATTGACAATTTAACTTGATAAATAACGGGATATGCTGTAAAACCCACTATACCACTAGTTCTGGGATAATTAAGTTGGATTAATATTTAGTGTGAACTTCCCAAATCAGAATTTTTAATACAGTGTCAATAAAAGCAGGTTTATTTGAGGAAACCAACATTTTGAATCAAAATGAAACATCAACCAGACTGATAAAATAAACTGAAATTAATTTACTAAATCAGTTTAGTTCTTTAGTTTAATTTGTTTAGTCAATTAGAACAGATGTTCAGACACCATGGACTAAAAAAGTGGATTTATTGTACAAATTTTCATGTTTATACAGACATTTGCATAGTTTTAATCCATCATTCTATCATTGATGGAAATTATTAAAGGATTGATTTTGCATTAAAGAAAAAAAAATACATTTCAACAAAATCTGGGGAATTTGTCATATTTTTTTCAGATAACAGGGCATTAAAATATAATTTTATGAATGGGTTTCTGAAAGTGCAGTTTGGCTGAGAAATATACAAAAATACAAAAAAACGCTCAACTGCTGCAGAGTCATTCGATGAAAGAACTCCTGCAGCCTAGAGCACATTCCTTCCCTCCAGCAGACATCCTCCAGCAAAACCAAAAAAAAAAATCCCCAAAACTCTTGGATGTGGCTCCAGGTGTTTGTGGGTTCTAGGCGGTTCCAAACTGAGCCAGGTCGCCCAACTCAACGTCACCGAACTCCTCCCAGGGGCAGATCACTGCAGCATCTGCAGGGAAACAAGCCAAACATGAGGAAACGCCTCAACATGTCAAATCTTTAGGCTGAATCTGGACAGAGACTCACCGTCAAGCCCGTCCATCCCTGGCAGAGCGCTGCTGAAGCTGTATGGAAATTAAACATTGAATTAGAAAACATTTGTATCTTCAGAGAAGATTATATTTATACCTGATTTTGAAAGACTCTGCTCACCCTTTCTGCCCTGGTTTGGGAGCTTTGCTCTTGAACTGTCTGCTCTCCTTCTGCTTGAACTCAGCTGGAGTGGGCTTGGTATCCTCAGATACTGCTGATGCATTCATGTTCTCCACTGAGCATCGGAAAGAAGAAAGTTCATACATAGACATGAGTTTTAGGTTCATTAAAACGAGCTGCTTAAATTCTGCTGTTCAAACTTTCAAAATAATAAAGCATTCTGGTATTTTTTACTCACTTAGCAGGAAAATAGCTTTAGCTACCAATGGCATACAAGCTTTATTCATTGGGCACCTTAATGACCCACAAGACCAAATTAAACTATGCCCATGTAATAATGACATCAAAAGGACCTGAAAATACTTGAACCAAGCTGTTTCAAAATAAGAAAAATAATTATACAATCAGTTCAATTGAATTGAAGTTGAAATTATACAGAAGTAGCAGCATTCTGTTTCCTTTGAAGCTGAGAGATTAAGGAATCGCTTCATAAACTGTCTTACGGTTATCCTGCCAAGAGGTAACAAGGGCTCAGATTACTCTAATTTATTTAATGCCACTGAGAGACGCCTGTCTTTACTGTAGCTAGCGACCGCAAATAGAAAAACAGGATTTAGAAAATGGACTGATGGGATTTATCTGAGTTGAGTCCAGCATTAATGAATCCTTTAGGTTTAAAGCAGCTGGCTTGATGTAATGGATTATAGAGTCCATTACATACCACCAACTCAGGACTTTTCTCAATAAACTTTAAAATGTTAACTGCTAGAGATTTGCAGACTTATAGTTTTACAGCAACAGCTGGTTGGGTGTCATCTGCATCACATCGAAAGCATAACATCTGAGCATCCTCTGTAGAAGATTGTTAAATAACAATAGAGTGCATTTTGTCAAAGGCTGGTGGCAGACAGAAGAACATTCCTAAGCTTTACTATAACATGAACATCCTTGGAACTACAACAACATTTCATGTCCCTTTGTGATAAACAAGTATTTCTGAAACGAAATGAACTAAATTTAAGGACATTTTCTATTTGCAAGAAACAAGAGGGAGCAGGTGGATGGAAGATGAGGGTGGGGAGGGAAATGTGGGACGCCATCCAATTGAGGAGTAAAGGAGGAAATATATTTGAACTGATGTAAACTGATCTAGAATGGTGCCTCTAAAGCCTCCAAGAAAGAAAGTGAGATCCTACAGTCCACAGTGTTAAAGGAGATAATAAATCTAGAAGCACAGGAATAGAACCTGCTCAGCACAATAAACACATTAACAAATTCTACTTACTTGTTTTCTGATGTTAAAGATGATTTTCCTTGCAGGCAAGCGTGTAAGAAGTTGTTGCAAGACAAAGAAGTAGTCCTCTTTCTTCTTGCTTTCTCGGTCTTCTGTCTCCTCATCCAAACGTCTGCCTTTATACACCTTCAGGGATTAGCTTCCTCTCAGCTTTGGGGTGGATTAGGTCTTATGACTAAGCCTTGTTAATTCATAATACCTGGGAGCCTTTTGTTGTGTTCCATTCTAATCCCAAACAATTTGCATCTAAAATAAAGACATTGACACAAAATCAACACAAAATCTAGTTGGTTTAATTTTATTTTTATAAAGAAGACTTATTTTGTAACATTTTCTCTTGCAGCCGTCTAAGTTTTCCTGACTAAAATAAAAGGAGATACAGCTGACACATGAGTAGCTGACTGGTTGGTCTGTTCCGGGATAACAGGATGAGTCACAGAGATGATAAAAGCTTGCATAACAAGGATGATGTTCAAATCTCCAGGGGCTGAATCAGCCTCTCGACCTTTCCACAGCATGTGCAGATACATGTATGTGTTCATAACATCCCGATGCATTACCTTGCAGCGAACGCAGAGGTGTTATCGCATTCTCATCCTCTTTCCGACACCTGTGCTAAATCACCTGCTGAGCTTTACTGGTGCGTATGAACAGCATCACAGACAGAATGATGCAATATGTCACATAAGGAGACGTAATAGGATTAATTGTGTCATATATGAATTCAACTGCACTACGTCTTTCTAGTATTTTCTGACTATAAATGAGATTACAATAAAAAGTCAGTCATTTAACAGTTGCTGCTTTTTGACCTGAAAAGGGTTATAATAGGTTCATTGCATTTAAAGTCAATTCCTCTGGAGACAGAAATTATTGATAAGTGTGATAAGATGCGTCAAGATGCACCACTCCTGCTGCTTGAGACCTTTTGATGCCCCTTGATAGATTTAGACTCAACTTTATTTATCCCTTAGGATTACTCCTTCAGGGAAATTCTGGTTCCAGTAACTTAGAGTAGAGCATAGAAGTACAAAGGGCAGAGTTAAAGCAAGATGCCAATTTAAGATAAAAATACAACAGACAGTATAAAAAGAGTGTATGCAGTATACAGCATAAAAGAGTTGTAATTTCCTGGAATATGTTTCCTTTAGATATAAAATATGTGCACAGTACAGAGCTAGGGGAAGTCTACACAGTAGTTGAGATGACCTGACCTTATAAATAAGTAAAAAATTACACAGTAGTAGGAATGTGTTATTGCACAGTAAGGGAGCAGAATATCGCATATGAGTGACAATAGGTAATTTGTTTTGCATAAGATGTCTAAGAGCCGCTGTTAGGTTTATTCAGTGATGATTATAAAATGAATGTGTGCTTATGAAACATTTGTGCAAGGGGATGCTCCACTCCTGTCTCATGATTCAGTCAGGACCATCCTGCCTTGTCATTCTGATGGAGCATTCTGTCTTCATGAACTGATCAATTGTTCTGTCAGAACAATACTCTGTTTGTAACCATGCTTCATGTTCTGTTAATGAAATGCTCTGCGGAGGAGGTCCAGTGGGAGACAGTGTGTTTGAGTCTGGGGTTCAACTGTCTCTCCTTTCTGCAGAAATATTTGTATCCATAATTGTGTATTTCAGCTCTTCCTTTTTCAAAAAACTTACATTTTATGAACCCGACAGCCGGCTCCCCTCACCACTTTGTCCAGTCTGGAGGTGTCCTTCTTCAATGCAATTCAACCACTGAATTTAAACCATGCAGCAACTTCTGCTGTCTCAATCGCGTGTGGTGTAAATGTAGTATTAGAGCAGAATTTCTATAACTCTTTCATTTATCTGAATTTTATATTCAACAGTAAAGGCTACAAGTCAACTTAGCTCTATTAGTTCTTTAGCAGGATGTTTTCCATTATATTGATATTTCTACTTATGGACAGATCGTTTTATCTCTTAATCTGGTTATGATCAGCAGAATTTTAAATAGCTTCCAACTACATTCTCTGTCATTCTCCACTCTTCCCTCAGTATTTAAGCTGACTGGTTGGTTTTTTTGCTCATTGTTGGATTATGGCCTCAACTTCCCTGTTTTATCTTAGCTACATTTGCAGTTCATCTCCATTGCATAGGTGCATTGTTTTCATGTTGTCCTGTGTTCCTTCTTTATTCTAGTAACCTGATGGACCTTGTTTGACATCTGGGACAGATTTAGTCCTTCAGACATTATTCTCACAATTTCACTGCATAGTTCACTGGCCTGTTCTCCCTGCAACTTCCTAAGCTTTTCACTTATCAGTCAGTCTGTTTTAATTCAATTTTCCATGTGAAATACCTTGAGATGACATGCATTGTAAGTTTATGCTATATAGATTATTAAATTGAATTCATACTTGACTACTGCACTCCAACCATGGCTGAGTGTTTCCCCGAAAGTCTTTCATTCCACACAAAATGCTGCAGAGATGGTTCTCAGTGCAGATTGGAACAGAATCATTGTCATCATTTGACTTCAAGTGTTTTATTTTTATATTTGTACATATTTTCTTTGCAAATGAATCTTAGTTTTTACAGTTTTTTTCTATCTTATTTTTTATATTTGCAATGTGACAGGTTTGGTTGCTTAGCATTGCTGTATAGATAAAGTTAATGGATTTAGAATATTTAGAGCATAGATCATGCTATTGTTGGAAAAGACGAAGAATGTAGCTGGATTGCTGCTGTTTTCTGTTCATCAAACCAACTGTTGCCACCTGAGAGGTATTTCAATAGACAATAGAAAAAAGATTAACCATTAATGTTAGAATTAAGCCTCAATTTTCCTGTTATATCTTAGCTACATTTGCAGATCATCTCCATTGCAGAGGTGCATTATTTGCATGTTATCCTGTTGCTTAATGTCTGATCGCATCATCCAGAATCTGTTTTCCTTCTTTCTTCTGGTAACCTGACAGACCTTGTTTGCCATTTGGGACAGATTTAGTCCTTCAGACATTTATATTTAACATTTCTCCACTTTCCTGATAACATTATAGGCTGGGAGCGGGACTTTTAGACCTCTGTGTTAAATGTTTAGTGATTAAGTTTTAAAAAGAAAAAAAATCTCCAACCAACAATGAAATTTGCATAAAAATCTATACAACCCCAAAGATCTGCTTTAATCATTTGAAATGTTCTTTTCTTTTGAAATGTTTACAAGAAGTAAAAACAGTCAGCGACTGTGTGATCCTTTTATATAGATGTACATCATGCATGTAGTAATCCATATGCTTAAGTTAGCATAATTGTCAATGATGACGTATAATATTTTAATAAGGCTGGAGCCATGGATGTCTATTCAGTATTTCTGATTCAGATTCTGATCTGCTAACGTGAATGAAGTAAAATGTGATGATGTGGCAGACTGGAGATGAGAGGTGAGCAGCTGCCTTCTGTAAATTCTAAGCAACTTCTCGATCTAAATAAGATTACAATTTATATCAGAATCTGTTTTCATATCTCCTGGTTATTTAATACATATGAGTTATAAAGTGTTATTTAAAGAGTTTTTGCCGAGTGATCTCTTTTCAGGAAAATGAACCGTAGAGACAGAGCTTCCAGGTGCATACACAGAGCCTATGTTTAACACTTTGTAGACAGAAACTATGAAACAGGAAACAAACCAAATTGATTAAAAGAACTTTATTCACACTAGCAGACCTGAACAAACAGTCCTTCTTTTAATATACACCTGATTTAAATAAAGAAGATTACATAGGAAAATTAAAGGTAGTTTTTCTCTTTTTTATCACAGTAAAATATTTTAATGTTCCCTGTAGAGAGATTATAATACTTAACATATGAACGTTTTCTTTGTACGCAGGTGCAGCAAAGCTCAAGAACTGTTGAGGCTTGTCTGTTCAAGTTTCTATTTTGTCACAGAGTAACATGATTATCAATTGTTTTCTATAAAATTGCATCAATGCATGATGGCAATTTATTTTCATTCAACTGAAGCTTTGATGTTTCTGCTGCGTGAAGCTCGACTCTTTATCCTCAGGAACTCTTCAACAGCGCGGCTCGGTTCGGTTCATCTCAGAACTTTAAACTATTCCAAACTGAGCCAATTTGCTCAGCTCCACTTCTCCAAACTCCTCCCAGGGACAGACCACTGCAGAATCTACAGGCAGACAAACCAGTTCAATGTTTCATAGAAACGTCTAAATCCTTTGGTGCCGTCTTATATTTCCATTAAACTCACCATCAAGATCCTCCAATGCTGAGTCATGGTTGTTCACTCTGTTTCAGAGAGACAGAAATATATTTATTCTGCTGCTGGTTTAAATCTCTTCCTGTCTGAGGAGAGAGAAACTGGACTCACCCCTTCTGTCCTCGTTTGGGAGCTTTGCTCTTGAACTGCCTGCTGTCCTTCTGCTCCATCTCTGGCAGAGACGGCTTGGTTCCCTCTGCTGCTGCTGCTGAACTCATTTTACAGACTCTGTATCACAAAAACACAAAATGCAACAAGTTAAATTCTGCAAAAACAGATCTGTAAATACGTAAACCTTTTTAAAAATAAGTGTATTTAGCCCCAAGTTAAGCAGGTTAATAAGATGCTCTGCCAGGTGAGTGAGCATTTATGTTGTTGATATAAGACAATAATTATTCCAAATGGCAATTTGAAAAATCAATGGGACAATACACTTATCTTAAGAAACATTACCTCACATATGTTTTATTTTTGCAGGGTATAAACTATGAATGCATCTGAAAAAAATATGAAAGATTAGCTCACTTTATTTTAGCTCCTTTTTAAAATACATGCAGATAAATCCTTGATGCTGCTGCTGGTATTTCTGTACTATGCATTCATGTTTCCCCATGTTTACACCTGTGTTACTTTATATTTACCAAAATAATCAAAAGGCGTCTACTGTTTTCCTCCCTTATTTATGATAAATGCCGATTTATTTGATATGTAACAGTTTCACTTATTTAAATTTAAAAAGTACATTTAAATTGGATAAAATCAAAATCCACTTACTCGTTTCTGTGGGGGCGTCACAGAAATCTCTGTTTGCACAGAAGTTAAAAAGCAGCTGCAAGACAAAGAAGGAGTCTTCT